GAATAGAACAAATATTAAACACCCAATCGAAACCGATTAACCGAACTAATCGAAACCGAATTAACTAAAATATTTTGATTCGATTAACCAATTAACCAAAATATATAAATATGAAAGTGATTTTAAATTAATAATAATAGTAAAACACAATTAGAACCGTTAATTAATAAATATTTCATCATTCAATGTGATTTATTATAATAATATCTATTATAACCATATTTGTTGAATATAAATATACTTAAAGAGTTCACATAAACCCACATATATATATTTATAATAATATTTATTAAATATAAATATATAATATATTTATTTTGGTTTTTCGGTTATAACGGATATTTTTTTAACTAACCGAACCGAACACCGAAACCGAATTATTATAAAAACAAAAACCAAATATGTAATAGAAAACAGAAATAATCATCGAAGAACCAAAATTGAATTCGATTCAGTTCGATTTTTGGTTATGGTTCAGTTTTGCTTACCCCTACTTTATACTGTGTGATCAACCCTCCTCACCGGGGCCTCCAATGGCCTTCTCTACACATGATCAAACTACCTCAATCAATGTTCAACCAATTTCTCTTGGATAGACGCCACACCAACTCTTACTCTGATCATTTCATTTTTGAATATTATACTTTCTTATATGACCACGTATCCATCTTAACATCCTTATTTTTGCTAGTTCAATTTTATGCTCTTGTTTTTCTTTTATCGCCTAACATTTACTACCGTACAAAACATTAATCATATGTAACAAAGAAATATTTTATTCAAAAAACATAAGACAACTTCATGTGTGTATATGCGTATATAGTGATGTTGGGAAAACCCCTATATCCAATAAAGTTGATTTAATTTAATATACGAGAGGTATATATATCTATATAAAAGTAGAATATTTTTATAATGATATTTTAGGGTTTCAGTTTATTATCGTAATACGATGTGCATTCGTCAGATAGAATCCACTTTATTTCTTTCTCTCTCCCTCTCTCTCTTTTTTGGGAAGCTTAAATTTCACCTATGAATGCAATGAATCCGTCTTGGGCGGCATAATTGATAATTCAATGCCACGAAAATTTGACAGAAATTTGGCATACTCTACATTGGAGCAACAATGTCTACATATTAATTCCCCAGAAACTGTTTGGAAATTCATAGAAACATTATCAATATTAATTTTGGGTTGAAGTTCATACTTCATAGTAAGCTCAACTGAGTAGTCCTAAAGAATCTAAATTATTGCAGCAATCATGTAACACTTCCCAGTGCCCTTAATTATTATTCTCTCCATAAATACGGTGACTTACTAGCTTCGGGCAACAATCTAGATATCACCTAAATTATTTAAATTCTGAAACTTCAAATTATTTTCACCCAAATCTTAACCGTTTTCATTTCAGTTTAGTTAATTTAGTTTAGACCTATGATGTTTACGTCAAAATTCCTTTCTCTAATTAATTAATGACTCTTAAAAATCACTGAAAATTGCGTTGATAATTATCTCTTAAATTCATCTCAACTTTAGATTCATAGTATTGTATGATTGAATAGTATATATTATTACATTACTTTCCGTCTATAAGATCTTGTTTTTAAACTATAAATAAAATTTTATAATTAAAAATGGAGATAAAATATTTTACTGCATCATTTCTGCACACAAATGCACCAAGGAATCCAGAACTATGGAAAAAGTGATTAGATGCTGACTAATTAGGAAAATATAAATATAATCTACTCTCAAATCCACGTTGCTTAATGCTTTTGCACACATATAAATTAAATTATATTTAATTAATATTTAACCATATCTTCTTCCCGTCTTCCTTTTTTAATTCAAACCTAGACAAAAAAAAAAAGATTTTTTTTTTCATTTCCACCAGAATATAATTGCCCTATATATGCAAATATATTTGTATTATATATGTATATCTATAAAGCCCTTGCAGTCCAATTACTCTGGCACTTGTCCGCAATCTGCATGAAAAAGAAATTCAGAATCAGCAGAATATTGAAAGATGAATAATTAAAAATATTACGCATAATATGTACAAGCAAATAGACCAATTAAATTAAAGAGTTGAAGGATTTAGACTAAGATTAAATATTATATAATAAAAATGAACAAAAAATACAGTGAAAATTAACGTTGTGCCGGTTCTTAATTAGTTACTATGTCATTGGATGCTTAAAGAAGCTCATCAGAAGTGATATGGGAAAAAAAACATTGAAGCCATGTTTTCCTAATGAAAAAGGGTACACACACACACATATTGGCATTTTGGTGCCATTACGGATATATTGATATTAGAACCGACCTGAGTCTGTGTAGGTTGTTGCCCAAAAACACTCGGTTATTGATGTTTTGAGAATCCATATAGTAGAGGGGCTTTCTAACAAAGGATATATATCCGATGATCTTGATAAAGAAATAATCTTGTTCAGGTATATGATAGGCTTGCTTTGAACCTTCTTATTGGTGAAGAGGTTTTTACAGAGAGAGGCTACTAAGATACTCGATGTATGGTTTCCTTTGGAACCTAACGAGTATGAATAGTAGACTAATGGTTTAACCAGGCTTGATGTTTTTTACTCATTCACTCTTTCTTTTTTTTTGGACTGTCCCCCTCCTGAATCGGAACAGCAGCAAACTTCACAACCGGTTCCAGGCTCCAGTCATTCGCAGGAGAAAAATAAAATTTCCCCTGCTCATAGGCCTGACAATGGCGGTGCATCATCAACTCAGGGATAGCGTTTAAAAACACTTATAAAAGCATGTTTCATATAACTCGAGACAAAACTCCTCTCGTATACTTACCTCACATCCTGTAAATCATAATTAAAAAGTTACATAGGCCCTCAAACTGTCAAGTTTCGCGTCAGTCACTTTTCACTTAAGTTTAGGGCTGATAGTATACTGATCTATTATAATACTGACGTAAAGCCGGCCAATTCAGCTGTTAGCGGTGGTCGAATACCAAAGTCTCACCTCCTTATGACTAGGGAGATAATGTTCTCCCGTGACAATGATAGGTTGCCGTTGGAGAAGACCGCCTATGATGGAGGAAAAAAGTATTTTTAGTGCCGTTCCTCTGCCTGAAGAAACTTTTGCAGTTAGTATCCCAGCGGCAGAGGATGAAGTTTCATCATATAAGGTCACCTTAAGGCTGGTTAAAAGGCTTGAGTTTCGTCAGTTGGGTTAATACTTGGATAAGGAGTTTATGAGAGACATTTGGCAAGGATTGCACACGGTGTTCAAAGAAAATTCAGCCAAGTGTACAAGACACAGCCTCTATCCTTCACTTCCTTGCTTCATACATGTTGATCACCTTTCTGGAAATCCCAAAATTGCGATAGAAGAATTTCAATTCAGTTTTAAGCCTACCTGTCTGGGTCTGTCCTTATGTCTGGAATGCCCTGTATCTTCTCCAAGCCAAATATCGGTTTTTGATTTTCTGTCCGTGCGTATTAACGATTTTAGATTGGGAGCATTTGAATCTTTCAGGGATAACGTTGCGAAGGAACTGATTGGGTTAAGGGTGAATGTGACTTACCGTGAAACTAGCAAGACATTAGAGATTCTGGGGTTATCAGACGCTCATACGAGGGATATCAGCTTTACTCGTTATTACCGTGGGGCCCGGAAGGAGCCAAAGGAAGTCACAATTGCTAGTTATGAATTGTGGGGGAGGAGGGGCACTGACCAGTAGGTTAATTAGGCTGTGTTATTCCTTTTTGTTTGCCTTTTATCTATTAACACTTCTTCACACATGCTTGGTTTATACATCTGTACACACTTGCACTTTCTGCACTGTGAGTGAATATGATTTGCTCTGATTTTATTGCATTGAGGTCAGTGCAACGTGTGAGTGTGGGGGAGGATCTAGTAAAGATATTTTAAGAAAAACAATACGTATTTATTATAAATAACTAACTTCATTAATTTTTTTAATCTACTCAAATTAGTCAACTAACTCTTAGAGAAACCCATCCCTGTCCCATCTTGGTAAACAGGAACTGGACAGGATTTTGTCTCCGTGTCTCATCCCATTTCAATTTTTTTTCACAAACCATTGTAATTTTTGAGCCTGAATTTTTTTTTATGTTGTAATTCTTTTTATTGGCCTTTTGAAGATACAAACACTAAAAACAATATTGTAAAAAAAACCACAAAAGAAATGCTACATAATGGTTTTCATGAATTAGATGGAGTTTTTGATAACATTGCAATTTAAGATCTAAAAATCACTGTAAAAAATTATTATTGTTAATAAATGAATTGAATAATCAAATAATAATTATTAATAGCTAAATTTTTTTTTAAAAAAAATCTCATCTCAAAATTTTTTTTTCCTCATCCTGAATTGATCAAGACTGCAATGGGATAGTCGGTACAAGACAAATTAAACACCCCCAGCCATAACTACTTGAGATTCTAAGGACCTAAAGAACCTTCATCAGACTCGTCTTAAGTTTTAGTTTCAGATTATTCTTTTGTTCAGTGAGCGTCTCATCTCATGGCTAACCAGCTCAGCAAGGTCCTGCCTGTTAATTGACCCCCCAAAAAACACAAAAAGGTCCTGCCTGTTAACCGCTCTATAGGCATTTATGATAGCCTTAAAAAGCGATTCCCGCGGCTCCATTTCTCCGTATTTAAATTGGTTGTATACCGCTTCACATCTTCGACCATACTAGCTTTTCCATAACAGCTTACCAGATTAATACGTATTATTCAGATTGAAAATACCTATACAATAGACTTCTTCATTCTGTGTCAAAATTTTAAATCAAGACATTATAATGCAAAATTCTAAGCTTTTTCTTATGAATTCTTCAAAATAGTTTTAAGATTAAACATTTTTAAATATTAATATTTTTAACGTATAATCTACATGGCAACTAAAAGAAAAGCAAATATGAAATGCAATATAAAACTTGGAATATCATTGCCGATTGTGAAGTAAGTAACAGTGAGGAACTCAAGAAGCTAAATTAACTGCACACAAGTACAGCTCACGGTCTACAAAGACAGCCTTTGATATATTGAATAGCAAAAATTTTACAACATAAAGGAAAAGTATACTTCAAGAGTTTCTGTATCCTCCCAAAAATAGAAGCTTTGAAGAAAGCAAAATGCAAAAAACAGCACAGCAAATAGACTCATAAGATATCAGACTCCATTACATGGATAGTTAGAAGCTTTAAACGTCGAACCTCTCCCATATATACAGTTCTGATGCCTAAAGAAACCCACCTCTGTACAGTATGCATAAATGAACTTGTTATACAGCTACTTGAAATTTTAAAGGCTTAAAGAAGATTCATCAGATTCTTCTTCAGTTTCAGTTTCAGTTTCAGAACATTCTTCTTTGTTCAACGTAAGACTCATCTCTTGGCTAACCAACTCAGAAAGGTCCTGCCGGTTGGCCATTCTATAGGCATCTATGATAGCCTTCAAAAGCGATTCACTCGACTCAATTTCTCCATATTTTACTTGGCTGTATATTCGCTTCACACCTTCAACCATGCCAGCTTTTCCATAACAAACTACCAGATTAATATGTGTTACAATGTCCGGTTCCACTTCCTTGTCCAGAATTTTCATGTATACATTTAATGCCTTGTCAACATCTCCAGCTGAACCATAACAATAGATGGCCACATTATATGCAAAAGAATCAAGAACAGCACCAGATTCTATGAATACTTGAGCAGATTCTTGTGCCAAAGCATGCATACCCACCATGGAGTATAAAGCAGCAATGGCTGCTTGTTGAGCATAAGGTTTTCCATCCCTATAGGATGACTCTAACTGTGTTACCGCTTCAATCGGAAACCCTCCCTTCTTCAAAACAGTGAATAACACTTTAAAAGTTCCTTCATTTGGTGAAAAATTCTGAGATATCATCTGATGCATTAGCTCACCACATTCACGAAGTTTCCCATTGCTGGCATAGCACACCAGTACCTTATTATATGAAACACAGTCATTGAGTAAACCCAATAGTCTCATCTCTTCTGCAATTTCAATGGCATCATCAAGCATGCCGATGTTTTTATAAAGATACATCATCGTAGCATATGAAACACCATCTGCCCAACCCTTTTCTCTCAAGTTCCCAAAAACCAGCTTGGCTTCAGATACCATGCCAAGATCTGCAAAGAGACCAATCATACTATTGCATGCAACAATATCAAGACCACCTTCCAAGTCCTTCATTCTTTCGTAGATGGCTTTTGCTCCTTCCAAGCTACCAATCTTGCAATAAGCCTTCAGCAAGGATGTCAACACAATTAAATTTGCTGATATTCCAGACTCTTCCATCTTTTGGAAGTATTTGAGTGCCTCTTCAAGACTACCATATTCTGCAAACCCATTTATTAAAGATCCATACACAACTTCATTTGGTTTTATTCCAACTTGCAGCATTTCCTGGTATACACTGACAGCATCTGAAAGCTGACCGAGGCGTGCATAGCATCCAATAACAGCTGAGAAGGTTTGACAAGGTGGCTTAATTTTCATTCCCAGCATTTCAGTCAATAGCTCTCTTGCTTGGTCCACTAAATCAGCACCAGATAACATTTGGATGATGGAATTATAAGTGCATTCATCAGGCCAAGTCCCCTGATTTCTCATTCCCTTGAAAAGAGAAACAGCCTTGTCATAAAGTTTTGCTGTGCCATATGCTTTGATCATGACATTGTATTCTGCAATGTCCCTTCCCTGTCCCGCAATGTCTCGTTTCCTGAAAAAAATGTTCTCTGCTTCAGCCCAAAGTCCTTGTTCAGCAAAAACATCCATAATTGCAACACATATCTTAGACGATGGCCCTCCATTTACTTGGCAATTATGAAGCAGGTCTTTTGCCTTGTCAAGTGCTCCTTCCTTTATATACATCTTGATAATACCGGGAAGGGAATGCTCATCTAGGGAAACACGAGAATTTTCCATTTCATCCATTAAAGCCTCCACAGCTTGAACCATATTTCGCTCACATAATGCCCCCAGAAGAGCTCTGTAAGTCACATCATCTGGGAAGAGTCCGGCCTCTCTGATCCTCCTATAACAACTGAGAGCTGCATCAATATTCCCCAAATTAACATACAAAGACAACAAGATGTTATAAGTTTTAGTATCAGGCGATATACCCCTTTCTTCCATTTTACCAAGCAAAGATTCAGCTTCCAACAAATCACCATGACTTCCACAAATATAGATCATAGTATTAAAAGTGATTGTATCCATGGCCACCCCAGATTTTAACATATCAGCAAACACATCGGCAGCATCCTTTAGCCGCCCGGCCTTGCCATACAAATCAATCAAGGTGTTATAAGTGGAAGTGAGCCGAGGTTTTCCTGGAGGCTTCTCGGTATTTGATGAAGCCACAATACTGGAAGCAGGAATTCTCCCACCTGTCTTGAAGAGTTCAGTAGAAAGAAAATGCTTAAAACTAAGGGAGATTGATCCAGATCCATTCACAGTATCAGTTAAAGAATCTTCTAAATCAGCAATATCTATTTCAACTCTCCCAGCACACCAACTCTTGTAGAATTCATCTGCTATATCAAATTCTCCTGCATCCTTCAAGACCTTAACAACCGTACTCATGGTAACCTCATCTGGGAAATATCCCCTCAGTCTCATATGTTTAACCCACAAAAGGGCTTCTTTTACTAGACCCGCTTTACCATACACATCAACAAGCGTGCTATAAGTGTTGTTCGTGGGCAAAATGCTACTTTTTGCCATTTCTATCCAACAAAGCCTCAATTCATCCCATCTGTGAGCTTTTCCAAGAGCTCTAAGCACAACGTTATAGTGAATCACATTGGGGACATACTCTTTCTGAGACTTGAACCACTCAAAAACCCGAATCAGTCGTTCCCAGCTTCTTTGTTCTTTAAGAATAACTGTCTGCTCTTTTGGACTCAGATTCTCACCAAACGTATCAAGGGTATTTTCTACATCATCCCCCAACTCCAATGACCGCAGAATCGAAGGCAATACACCTCCATATTTCTTCTTCTTCTTCTTCCTCCTACCGGCAATGGAAGAAGACGACGCTGGTAAAGCTTGAATATTTGAACGGAGATTAAAGCCAGATTGCGACCTCCTAGCATTAGGCGGGGGGAATTGAAATAATCGCCTGAGAGATTTTGAGGAGACATTACTAATGAAGTTGGAATATAAAGAAGAATTTACACAGACCATATCTACGGATGACATCGATTCCGGGACAGATTCAGAAAGACACCAATGAAACTGAAGGATGATAAACAGAAAAGGAGGTGACGAACCTGCAGAAAGATATTAAGTGATGGCGGGAGAGAGAGGGAGGCAGATTCTTCTGGAGTTTAAAGAAATTACGGCGCTGCAACAACGAAGATTTTGATTCTGGGGAGGGGCTATGTCGGCTGGCCCGGGTCAGGCCCCATTCCGGAGGGTGATGTTTGGGCCGTACGCCCAATGATGTGTTTATTTTTCTGTGACGACACTGACCAAGCCCATTACAAAATATTTCCTCTTATACTTAATATAAAAACTAATTCGCCCATTTCACCAAAAAAAAAAAAAAAAAAAACTAATTCGCCCTGCCTAACATTGGTATAACCTAGGAGGAAGGGAGATTTCGCCCTGCCTTTAGATCGTGGGTGAGCCTAACCCCTTTCCAAAAATTTATATATATAAAAAAAGAAAGAACTAATTAATTAATTTAAATAGATTAAAAAAATTATTTAAATTAGTTATTTATAATTAATAGATATTGTCTTCTCTAAAATATCCTTACTAATTAAGCGTCATTTGATGAAACATTTAATATGCACAACTAGATTATTTTGTAAAAAAATAGATAAATATGATAGACAAAGCGGATTGAGGTATTATATTTATGACTAAATTGAAATTTAAATAAGCTCTTATATTAAGTACCAAAAATAGGATATTAATTGAATAATTTCGCTAACCCTCTGTTTGGATGGAAAGAAAAGTTGAGAGGAAAGAAAATGAGAGGAGAGAAAATGAAGAGAAGGGAAAATTGGAGAGAAAATATTGTCATCTCTCATGTTTTGATGGACGAGAGAAAATAAAAAGGAAAAAAATGAGTAAATATATGAATGACTAAAATATTCTTTATGTTATAGAAAAAGATATCTTGATTAAAATCAAATTAAATATCATAATGAAAAACCATATTTATATTAACACAATCATATAATTTAAAATCAAATTATTTGATAAAGATATATTATAATGTTATTATTTTTTTAATATCAAATAATTTTGTAAAAAAAGAAAAAATAATAACATTTTGTGTAATGTAATACTAAAAAAACCAAAACGACAACTCTACTTGTTTTTCCTTTCAATTCATTTTAGACGGATTTTTTTTCAATTTTAGTTATTTTATTTTTCAATCAAGCAAACACAAAAGAAAGACTTGATAATAATAAATAAAGTGAAAAAATGAAGAAAAAATAAATAGGTATTATTTGCTGAAAAAACATATGTAAGGGTAGAGAGGAAAAATATGTTTTCTTCTCATTTTCTCTCCATATATGAAAAGAAAAGTTGGGAGAAAAATAAGCTGTGGGACCCATCTCATTTTCTCTCTAACTTTTCTTTTCTCCCATTTTTCTTCCCTAATCCAAATAGGGAAAAAGCCACTTTTCTCTCCATTTTTTTTCATTCTTCATTTTCTCTCCATCCAAACATAGCATAAAAAACAGTGACTTTCTTTTTAATTTAAAGTGTGAAGTTTTAGTTAAACAAGTCCACATTACTCACTTATTGGAAAATTTGACAATAACAATATAAAAAGGTTTGTATAATATTTATGAACTTATTCACATTATCCTTTAAAAAGGAAAAATATTTTTGTATTTTATAAATTGATCATAATTGATAATTCGTGATGGACATGATCAAAATAAATGTTTTTAATACGCATCCATCTATTTCATAATGTCATCTTCTAACCACACTGCCTTTTGTTTTTCAAAAAACTATATCAAATATGCCCTTTTGACCTGTTTTGAATGAAAAAGTTACCATCGATTATAACAAAAAAAATAAAAAATTAAGTTACAGCTTCAGCTTACAGAGATATGAAAATAATTGAAATTTAATACGACGGCAAAAAAAATCATTAATAATCATGTTGCCCGCTGCATTCCTTTTCCATGTTATTCTTGATCAAAGGATTTGACATTTATTATGAAAATAGGAAAATAAAAGAAATGAGGTTGAGGGAGGAAAATAGAGAACATAGGAGATGATTGTACAGAAATATCTGTTAAAGTAAATAATATCTGGAGTTTAGATGTATTAATAATAATGATAATGTAAAACTCCCAAAAAAAAAAACCTATATTCATGTTGCAAGTACTGTAGATTTCAGGGTAGAATAACAAACATCCCTATTTATTATTGCAATACTCATAATAAATGGTAAAAAAAAATGTTATCATTAAAGTAATAAATACTCCTCTAGTCCTATTTATAGGACAGGAAGAGAAAACATTTTTTTGGTTTTATTTAGAGGGCATTGAGAGAAAAAAGTTTTGTATGGATATACAATTTTACCCTTTATTCATTATTATGTTGACATTATTTATATGAGATATAATATATATTAAATAGAGATAAAGTTAAAGAGTTATTGAATTTTAAATGAAAGTTAATGAAATTTAAGATTTTTCTTGATCTCTGTGAAACATGTTAGAAGTGACTTATAAATAAGACTAGAGGAGTATATACAAAAGCAATAAAAAACTATTTTTATATTTTATTCTAGAATTTATTATCCCATGTGCCCCATGTATTATAAATCAGTTTAATATAATAATAAAGTGTTTTTTTTTTTGGCAATTTGTCATTACTGCACAAACTAAAAGCATAGCACTTATTTGGCCTTCAGGTTTGTTCTTCCTTTTTGTCCATTAATCCTGTACATAGCCTTCTCCCTTCTGGCTTCGTCTCAGTTTAAGCGTTGAATTGTGTGTTACTCCTCCGGTATTTTGCAACTGTATATATAAGGGTTTTATATTTAAAACCGGAGAAATATCAACTTATTAAATCTCGAATGAATTTAAGTGTTTTTACAAGGTCTGACCAAATCGCCTTTTTTTTTTTTTCAAAAACTTCATTAGAATATATTACATTGTGACCCGTTCTAGATGGAAATGTTAGTGGTCATAAACTGCCACGAATGATAAAACTAGAGTCAAAACATGATAGCATTCTGTTAGGATGCGAGAAATTAATAATTATATTGCCCTCTTGCATTTGCTTATTCCTGAGCAGCGTTGATGATAAGGCCGAATATTGGCTCCTGCAATTAAAAACTTCGCATTAGTGGTAAACCACTGCTATTTCTAGTGTTCTCTCTCTCTATATATATATATGTTAGCTGTTACATTAATGCCTATTGAACTGACACTTGACACCAAAAAAGGGTTAACAATTTGTGGTCTTAAAACGTGACAAATGATTATCTATTCAAAATGCATGCTGCTCCTTTAAAATAATTTGCGGATATACATTATACTATACCAATCCTAGATATAATATAAAGTAGATTTTATATTTACAAGTGAAGGTAGTATTATATTATAATTTGATTTGATGCGTTGTAGTACAGTGTGTGTTTCATTTTATGTTAAAAACAACTTAAATTATTATTTTCGGTCCTTAATACAAGATTTAGTTCACTAATTTGAGTAAATTAAGAAAACTAGTTAAATTAGTTATTTATAATAAATATACGCTGTTTTTTCTAAATTATCCTTACTAATCAAATGTATTAATTGAAACTATCATTATTATAAGAACTCACTTAAAAAAATAGATAAATATGAAAGATAAATTAGATTGAGGTCTTACATTTATGATTAAGATAGAAATCAAACTGACTCTTATACTAAGGACCGAAGGTGGTATAATAGTGTGGTCAATGTTAAATAGCAAAACCATTATCTCAATAGTTTATAATGCAAAATTAAATACGGCTTACAACGTTATTGATAATTAAACGCTTCACGCGCTTTATGTGATATGGTCAATGACCAAAACTAGTTGACTTAAAAAATAAAACTTGAGTTGTCACAGGACAATAAAATAATATGAAGAATATTTTTTAAAAAAATTTTCGGTCAGTATTTTAAAAAGTTGGCCATTTTTTTTTTTGTTGAAAAAAAACGTTTATCGAAGCTGAGGTTGCTGGGTTGTACCCAACCATCTCTGGCCCCACCTTTAGTTGTTGGACAGTGCATGCCTCTGCTGCCTCGGATATCCCTTTCTTTGTCCTTCTGCCTCTTTCTCGTTTCGTTCATCTCTCTCTCTCTCTCTCTGCGCACATGATTGTGATTCCCCACTCCTTTGGGCCCCCCAGTTTTTTTTGGATTCTCAACGATCATCCGCACCGGATTATTTCCTTTCTCATTTTCGTCGCTTTTGTTTCCTAACCCATCGTCCTTTTTTGCGTGCTTCTCCCTCTTATCTCTGTTTTCTTCCCCTTTTTCTCAAATACCCACCCGCCTTGGTTTTAGACTGTGAGGGATTTGCCAGGTGGGGCTGCTATTGGATTTTGCTTTGGCGGGGATTTTGGCTTTCCTGGATTCCTTCTTATACACTGATTATTCTTCTCCCATTTGCTTTCTGGGTTTTGTCTCTCAGGTTTTTCAATTCGAATTATTTCGTCAGAATCTCTATTCAGATTTGAATATCTTGGAGACACTGCATGAAGGGGTTTTCATTTTCTCCGTGTTTCCAAATTTTCGAAGGTTAACGGATTGATTAGCAAGTCTGGTTTACCACTAAGCACTTTTTAATTAAATGTTTTTTGTTTTTACTGACTTGCTCTGCGTTCTTCTTGGGATAATATCTGCTGTTTTTCCCTATCTCCTTATGCTTTTGGGCTCATATCTATGATAGACATGCTATAATTACCAAGAATCACATGGGTGCCAATTTTTGGCGTATTCTGAATTGCATTGGATTCTGAATTGGTGAAGGATCCTTCATTTTTCTTTCCCCCTGAGTTTTCACTTTATCAAACGCAGTGGAAAAAACATGATAGCATCGAGACATCATATGTGATTTTAGAATGGAAACTTTTGGTAATTTCAGCTGAAATTGATGGTGCTTCTCTCTTTGATGCAGGTCATGCAGATTTTCTTGCAAAATGGGAGACTCTGCTTTCAATTTGGACACTGGCTACGTGAGCCCATTGGATCTCTCCACTGATGTTGATCCTTTGTAAGTGATTTTAGGAGCTCAAAACATCTTTAGATGGAGGTGTTTTCTAATTGCAAGCTGTCAAACTTCTTCGGCACCACTTTTAAGTCAATAACTTGCAAATGTATGTTCCTGGCGGTTGCTGTTTTGATTCTTAGAGCTCTTTTGCTTCCTCCAGCCCCTGCCTTCGGTGGGATTGAATGGACTGATCTTGTTTATATCCCTACCCTTTCTTTGTCATCGAGTTCTGCATCTGGGATCAGGCAAGATAAGTTTTTGGAGGTCCCTCAGATTGTATGGGGATTAAACAACCAGAAGATAGCATTTGCAAGGGCTTGTCTTACTGCCAGAATGCTCAATCGAACTCTATTGATGCCTAGCCTTAGCGCCTCCTTGTTTTACAAAGAAATTGACCTTCTACAACCCATTTCCTTTGACAAGGTTTTCCAATTTGAGAAGTTTAATTCACTCTGTAGTGGGTTTGTAAGGTTGGGTCGCTACTCTGATCTTCTAAACCAAACCCAAGTGCTTGAAATGCAAAAGGGAAGTGGAAGGAAGTGGACATTGGAGAGGGACATGGATCAATTGATACAATATAGCAGAGACCCGTTTGATCAACACGAGGTAATTCGAATTGTGGGAAAAAACCCTTTCCTGTGGCATGATCATTGGCCAGTGAAGGATTATGCAAGTGTTTTTGAGTGCTTGGTTTGGGTAGATGAGATTGCAAAGGAGGCAGATAGGGTTGTGTCGAAGATCAAAACAATTGGAAAAGAAGTGAGAGGTGAAACTGATAGCTCTTTGTTAAAGCCTCTGCCATATATAGCTGTCCACATGAGGATAGAGATAGATTGGATGATTCACTGTAAAAAAGTAGAGCAAAGATTAAACACGAATCAAATCTGCAGTAGCAAGATAGAGATTATGGACAGAGTTGGGAATCTCAGGAACACTGCGGACCTCGAGACTCCAGTTGTTGTTTATCTTGCAGTGGCTGATAAGCTTCTTAACGATTCATCCCTACTGGAAGGTTGGGGAGAAGGATTTCTTCCTTATGAGAAGAAGAAACTTGGGGTTGATGGAATTTACAGCAAGTATCCGTATCTGATTCAGTCTGCAATTGACTATGAAGTTTGCTCAAGGGCTGATATCTTTGTGGGGAACAGTTTCTCACATTTTCAAGCCTGATTGTGCTGGAAAGAACACAGAAGATATTAGAATGGGTGCGTCTAGCAGTGGTATGTGTAAAACTGATCTAAGATGGCCTTCTTATGCCTATAATATAGCTGGAGAATCAAGTGGTCCAATGAAATGGATCACTAATATGTCTGATGCAAGTCTTCAAGCTGTGAGCTATGGCACCAGTCACTTATCTTGTTGACATGTACTATGTCTCTGCAACTTCAAAATGTAGAGTAGATTAGCAAAGAAAAAGAAAAAGGTAGAAAGGATTTTTTTTTTTGTTCTTTTGTTTATATTTATTCTTCCCTTGTATTCCCTTTTGGAAGGGGGTCGTATGACTTGGGAGGTTGAGGAACTAGTGCATCTTTTCTTCTTGCTGAGTCCTTTTTCTTTGGTGCGGAAAAATAAATCAAATATTTTGTATGCATGTTGAAATCAATGTTTCACTTTTGTAATAATTCTGTTTTCCCATTTTCCCCCTTTGTAAATATGTTATTATATTATATAGAAAAGAGATTAGCTAAGCACTTGCCATCTGAATTTCTCCCACCAACCGCCGGAGTTTGTTGGATGGCTTTGGATTTTCGTGCATTTTGGAGCAAGTTCTTGGATGTCACCTGGAGGTACAATAGACGGGTGAGATTGGGTCCAGACATGTGGGACCTACTTAGGTATGTAATCTTGTCCATTTATTTTTTCTGGGGACTGGAGAGATGGTTATCTGGGTAAGTGGGGCCTGCTTCTGACTGCTGTCTCTGCATTTGTTTTCTGGTACTCAGAGCCAGGCTTTAGTTTCAGTATTTAACAACATTCTTGTGTCTCTCCAATAATGTTAGTAACTAAGCACCTTCTTTGACACCATCATCTTCTTCTTCTTCTTTATCCACATATGCACGCACACACCACAAATCGTCTTCTTCACGTTGCTTTTTGCCAAGAAATGACTGCAGCTTCGCAGGCATTTGGGCTTTCAGAGGTTAATATTAAGGTGTGTATTTTCATAATTAACTTTTCATTTCATTGGCATAAACATAATATAAAATTTATATATACTTTGAACTTCAGATTTCTACTGACGCGCTTCACTCACTTGACTCGTGACTTTTCACATGAGTTTGTTTCTCTGGTGGCTCAGGGGCGCGCGCACACATACTGGAGAATTTAAAACCGGTGAGCAGAATTATTTATATGAATTTAAATTTAAATGTCTAAAAGAAATGGCTGTCAGAAGTTGTTTGAAGAAAAGTTTTGTACATATATATTTAATATATATATTATATATATTATATTTGAAGGCAGAAAGGTTTCCTCCCCAAAAGTTGTGGGGTTTCGTTAGGGTCTGAGCAATGAATTAAGGAGTTGGAAAAGAGTAGTTGGGCAAAAAGAGAGTAAGGAAGAGTACAATTTAAGGTAAATTTCCATGATTGTATGAGGGCAGGAGAGAATCGATATAACTATAAGCAGCAGAAGGAAGGTACAATTGAGTTGTAACAGTGTTTGCTTTTATTGAAGTGGGGTCTTGCTTTACCCATGCATCTTCTTCTTGCCACTTGCCCTTTTTATTCCCCCCTTACCGAATTCTTCTTGCTCCCTAGTAGGACTTTAAATCTTTAATGAAACATACTAACTCCGGTTTTTAATATAAAATTTTATTTGATTTTAATTTTAATCTTAAATATAAGATCTTAATCCACTTTGTTTCTTATATTTATGTATTTTTTATTTTAAGATAGTCCCTCTAACAATGGTAGTTCTGACCAATACACTTCATTAGCAAGAATATTTTAGAAAAGATAATACTTATTTATTGCAAATAACTATTTTATTTCTAACATTAATCTCCTCAAATCAGTCAACTACTCTTATAATTAGAAATAGAGATAGTACTCCTCCGTCCTTAATATAAGACCCATTTAACTAATTTGATTAGATTAAGGAAGTTAGGTAAGTTAGTTAATTATAAGAAAAGTAACACATTTTTTCTAAATACCACAATCATCTTTCTTAATATACCCCATCTCCTTCTTCTATTTGATTATGGTTAAGGGAGTATCTATAGGGGTATTTAGAGAAAATTAATAAATATGAGAAATGGGTCCTATATTTAGGACCAAAACCAATTTAAAAATTGGGTCCTATATTAAAGACCAGAGGAGTATTAAACTATAAAGTGATTCTTATAAAATAGAAGGAAGTATATTATGCTTGTTCAATTCATATTATAAGTCACTTCTAATCATTTCATAGGAATTTTAAAAAAAAGGTGATTGAGGCATTAACTTTTTCTGAAAACGAGACAATTATTTCATCTTTGCCTATGCTCAAGAGTATAGAAAATCCTACACAGATTAAGAATTTCTTCTAAAAGGCCCTGCTTTTAGGATGGGGAAGTAGTATCGTAAATGTAAATCTAAATCCATTCGGATGTTGAAATCAAAATCCTTTCTCCTCCATTCAATTACTTTAGGGAGAGAGAGAGGGCGGTGGGTCATGGAATGACTGTGGAGATGGGACCACAAGCAAGAGCCGCAATCGTAGTTATGAAGTCACAGTCCTACAAGGGGAGGGGGTTGTTCTCATCCCACTCTCTCCTTGCCTGCCAGATCACTGCTATTGTCATTTTCGACCCGGTTTTTCACCCAAAAAAAAATTGAAAAAAAAGAGAGAGGAGTTTTTGGGGCAAAAAAGAAATTATAATTTTGAGATATTTAAAAATTATTTTAGAGAAAACTATTTTACAGGTACATATACTTTCACTCAATTTTTAATTTGGTACTTCTACTTTTTTTTCTTTTTTGAAAATCCTTCAACTTTACACGGTTAACACCGTTAGCCCCTATATTTTGAGAACCACGCTGAAGGGCCAACGGAAAAATAGATGGTGTTAAAATTAGAGATCTTCATCAGAAGTGAACGCAATAGGGGGAAGGCGACTTGTTTGTGGAGGAATTCGATTTGCTTTGATGGATTCGATTTCGAAGAGGGCTTCTTCGTTTTGCTTGGATTGAATCGACTTCTACACAATAAATTTTCTTATCCATTAGCCACAGCTATTCATCTTCTCCCTTCGCCAGAAAAATGTTTTGGACTGATCGAACTCCTTGCAATGGAATAGCGACCATGCGTCTTTGATAGTGTGCTTGCCTACAATGCTCAACTAAGAGAGAAGATGACCTTGTTTCAGAACTGATCGTGCGCATTTGTGGGTCTCAATTTTTCCCTCCCTTTTGTATTTTAACGCCGTCTATTTTTTCGTTGGTCCTTGAGTGTAGTTTTCAAATATAGGAGCTAACGGTGTTAACCGTGTAAAGTTGAAGGATTTTCAAAAAAGAAAAAAAAGTAAAGGTATCAAATTAAAAATTGAGTGAAACTATAGGTACCTGTAAAATGGTTTTCCCATTATTTTAAAAGCCTCTTCAGTTAAGTTTATTCCTGACGTTCCTTGAAATAAAGGGTTATCGAAGGAGTACTGGCCTTTGGATTAGTTCTTCATTCTTGACAGAAAATAATCCCAGCGCTGAAACATAGTCCTTAATTGTTAATAAAACAAAATAAAATAAAAACAATTATCATATGAACAGACGAAGGACAACCAGAGTTATGTCTGGCACTTTTCAGATTTTAAATATGTTTGTGGGAAATTGTCGATGCAATATTTTGAAGCTTTTCAGCAGAAGTCTGTATTTATCTTGGCTTCCACATTTATATTGTAGTTTAAATTTATAATGTTCAAATTAGTAGCATTAAGCAATTCTGTTTAGTTCATGTATCATTAAATTTTAAGGAGAATTACTAAGATGTTCTAAAAAAATAAATTTAATTATTAAAATGTCTTAATAACAAGTGATCAATCTAAACTTATTGTCATTCCCTGCTCTGAAATTTGTCACTGCTTGCTTACTCTTCATTTGTCAATTGATTTTAAGGTAATTAAATCCTTTTCTTGGGACCTAATTATAATTCTTCCTAAATTTTATTAAACTCAGCTCAAACCTCTAAACCAAAGTTTGCTTTACATAAAATATACGTAAGCTGATTTATCCATTTGCCCTTTTCAACTGGTTTTTTTTTTCATAATACAAGTGAAGCATTGGTCTGTTTGGGGGGAAAAAAAGAATTTGGGCCTACACTTTGTCAAGAAAACATTGGGCCAGCAGATGTTGGCCCAATATGAAAAAGGGTGGTGTGAAATATAATTAACCAAAACTGTTAGCATCGGGGTTTGCAGGGCTTGCCTGGAGAAGAATGCTACCAATGATTTTCCAGCTTCCACTCAGTGGCATCGGAATTGTTTTCAATGGAGAGGCAGGAATGCGTTTTCAATGGAGTACAGAATAAGCAAAAGGTGCGCTTTTTTTTTTTGGCAAGAAATTAAAGGTCAATATTCATTATTACAGATAAAATGATGAGCACAGCATAAAAAACTTTTTTAGCAAAAAAAAAAAAAAGTAAAAAAAAATTCAAAATAATTTTAGAAAAAACCCACACTCCCACATTGGGTCAATTTGTAGAGCTTCTTTTTTTTTTGGGGGGGGGGGGGCTCCTAAAGCTTGCGTAAAAGTAAAGAATGTATAATAAAAAAACAAGAAGAAAAAATTGCGGTTTTGTTGTAAAATTTATTGTTCAAAAGCACTTGAAATTTATTTTTAATTTTATGGAAAACAGAATACATTTGCATATGGTCGATGAGAGTTATGTCGTTTAGGAACCTAGATTTTAGGTATTTTTGGATATAAATTTTACAACTACGAGTTTTTTTAACAATTAAAAAAAAAAAGAGAATTGGAAGCTTCCGAATATTATATCCCTCTCTTTCTCAATCTCGCGCAATTTATACAGCATGCCATAAACAGACACATAATTTTCTCTATCGTGGTAAGTGTGTCTAGAAAATAAGTTGTTTGTTGTGAGTGAACATGGTTCTTTTTACCCTTTTCGTTTAATATTCCAATTATGGTGTATAAATTAAAGGAAATTTCGATAAGGTGAGCCAAGCCAAACTTCCCAGGTCACTGGTGATTTTTTTTTTTTTGAGACAAGATGCTTAAATATTCTAAAACTATTTATAAAAGAGCACTCGATATTATAATTTTTTTTTGTTTTATATTTTTTGTTTTGAAAGTATTTGAAAGTTGTTTTCATAGCGAAAATACTATGACTGTTATCCGCTATTAAGTTTGATTATTAAATTATATATTTGATTAGTGTCTTTTAAATGTTAAACTTAACAATGAATAACAATTAGGACAGCAATGTTACAAAATAAAATTTTTAGAACATATAAGCGTAAAAAAAAACTTTCAAGATGCTCCCTCATAAGTACTTCTCATATATTTAAATACCTTATTTCTTTTCAAATCAACCCCATCTTCCTCTCGGTAATGTATAAATTAATGATGTAATAGTTAATATTCCTCCGATTCTAAATATAAATTTTTTTATAGTATAAATTACACTAAAAAAATCTTATATTTATGACTGAAGAGTATTATATTTTATTCGATAGAAGTTAGGAAAATGTGAGTCCTAAGTTCGTCAAACGGTCTCAGCTACCATGGACACCCATGTGAACAGCTGCACCTATTTCCTCTATCTTACGCATTGTTTTTTCCGGCTGATCTTTTGAAAGGCAATCATTGGCTCTCTTTATTACATATAGATCTTTATTTTTAATTTATAAGCTTGGCAAAAAAAAAAAATTAATTCATAAGCATCTAAAATAGATAATGGGATTGTATTAAAAAATAATAATGGGATGCCAATTCGGCCAGATCATTTTTCAACTTCTTGTAATCATATGACACTTATTTTAATAAAAAAGATTATTTATAACAATAACGTAATACTCCGTCTTAATATAAGAATAAAATAATTAATATATAAAAGTTAAAAAATTAATTTTTTATTCAAATGTGTGTCTTGATTTTTTAAAAAATATTTTTCAATAATTTCTATTAGAAAAGCAGAGGAATACTAGAACAACATTTTTCAAAAAACTTTATTTACTAATTTATTGATTCTGCTTTTTTTTTTTTGGGACCAGAATTATTCTGCTTGATTACTTCACTCATTCCCAACCATTTTCACGCCACCAAACGCGACGTTAATCTTTTTCATTATTTTCCTTTGGCAGTATCTTAGGCTTAATTTTCTAAGATCCGCACAAAAATGACTAAATTTTCTAAGAAAGGAAGGGAATAGGCAGATTTGTTGTCTATCGATTAGGGTTTTATTCCTTTGCAGTGTTCAGAGCTTCCGGGAATATTAAGATTCACTTCCAATCCAATTTCCCACCAGATATTCGGTTCTTTCATTTGGTACCCTACTCCCCCCCCCCCCCAAGTATTTTAATTCTCTAGTTATGTCTCGTATTCTATGAAGTTAATGACGTTTGTGGGGCTGATTTTTGTTAGTTTCCTCTTCCAAAAATTCGTGTTTTGGGTTTCAGAGTCCCCTCTTTCTCTTGCCCTTTTTGGGTAAACAATTCGATTTTAGGTAGGAAGATGGGATTAGAATTGCATTGTGTAAAATTTGATTGTCAATTTTGGATTTTATTTCTTCCGCGAAATTTCTTTAATTTTTCGACGAATTTTGTCAGTGCAGGTTCCGTGTTTGAACAAATTCCCTGGTGGGTCTCCGAGGGTTGACTGAACATTTTCTGATATTGATGACCTAATCGTCTTTCTTAAGATCCATTCGTGGATGTATTCTGCTAAGATTCTGTTATAATTACTGCTTAAAGTCTTGTAGTTTGAGGATCCTGGTAATTTTATTGGGGGGAATAATGGAGGATCAGGCGGGTTTAGGAGGTGGAGCCTCTGTCAATATCGGAAGGGAAGAGGAAGAAGATGAATTTTGCAGTTGTTGTTGTGAAGAAGAAGAAGAATTATGGAAAGAATCTGAGCAGCCGGTGGTAGAAAAATCGAAGGAGGACTGTGATGAATCTTCAGTAAAAATGTTCTTCAAGGGCTTGTCTATAGCTGGTGTTGAAAATTCCACTTCGGGGTATTCTGGAATTGGAGTGGTCATGGAAAGACCATCTGGTCTTCCACCTATCCAGGTGCAGAAAAAACTCGATTTTTATGCAGAAAAGCTATTAGCTGAATACTTGGCTCTCATCGATGGCTTGCTGGAAGCTATGCAGAATAACATCCACCGGGTTTACGCTTTTACAGATTCTGAGTTATTGTACGATCAGGTTAGAAATTCCAAATATAGAATCGACATTTCCACATTTTATATAAATTGATGAAGATCCAGGTGAATATAGTGAATATGGGGTGTCAAAATTCGTTTGCGCTAAAATTTTTTGTAGTCTTTAGGCATGCCTTTTGAAATACTTTCTTGTATTGGTTTTCCACCATGTGAGGCGGGTTTTTAGAGTTCTTTATATATACTTCTCATCCACCCTTGTGGATAAAAATTTGTGAAAAGCACTTTACTTATTTATCCCAACCCTCTGGGATGTGCAAAAAGCACCATTTTGTATTTTCTTAATTTCTGTAGCATGCCATGTCTACTTTTGAGTATCCACGCTGTTTTTTTTTTGCTCGCTTCCCCCCCCCCCCCCCCGGTTTTTGCTTCGTCAGTATGCACCATGTAGAGAGATTTTAGGTTGTATATGCCTGCAGCCCATATATCATTCGCTTTCAATAATAAGGGTTGGCTTTGCTTAATTATCATGCATATATCAGCCTCCTTGAGCACAATGGGAGTACTTTTACAGAGAAGGTTGAGCTCAGCTGACTGTGTAAACCTGTATTATAACTGCTTTTCAAGATCGGGTTTATCAACACTGAGATTAAAGCTTCTCTGATGTTTGCCACTGGTCTTTAATGCTTCATCTGATGTTTGTATTTGTGTCTGTTTTTTAACTGCTTTTTTATGGCAAAAACAATCTTGGCAGATAACATTTGAGAAGAATCTTGAAATGCCACTTTTGAAAGCACTGAGAGAGAGGGCTCTGGAGCATGCTAATAATTTTGAATCATTTGTCCTTAATCTTGTTCCCAGCATTGATCTTGAGAAACCGCTGCAATTAGCTAAAGTAGCTATTGGCCTTGTCTCTCTTCCTATAGATGGTGGGAAAGTGCTTGAAAGCTGTTCTATTTGTTGTGAGGACAAGCCATTGGCAATAATGATCGCCATGAAATGTTCGCACAAGTTTTGTTCGCATTGTTTGAGAGCTTATATTGATGGAAAGGTACAGTCTTGTCAAGTACCTATAAGATGCCCTCAACCAAGATGCAAATATTACGTCTCTACTGCAGAATGCAGGTCTTTTCTTCCATTGACCTCTTTTGAATCTTTGGAGAAAGCCCTTGCAGAAGCAAATGTGTCAGATAGAATTTACTGCCCATTTCCAAATTGTTCCGTTCTCCTTGACCCTCGTGAATGTTTATCAGCTAGGGCAAGTTCATCTAGCCAATCAGACAATTCTTGTGTTGAGTGTCCTGTTTGTGAGAGGTTTATCTGTGTGGACTGCGAGGTTCCTTGGCATTCTTCTATGAGCTGTGAAGAGTACCAGAATTTACCGGAGGAGGAAAGAGATGCTTCTGACATTACCTTGCATCGCCTAGCTCAAAATAAACGATGGAAGCGTTGTCAGCAGTGTCGTCGGATGATTGAACTTACTCATGGTTGCTATCACATGACATGCTGGTAAGATATTCAACTGCTTTCTGGTTCTATAGAAAGTAGAAATTTCATTTAGTAGCTTATTTATTGGATGTGTGAAGCATGTGTCTGCTTTCAATTTGTTCCTTCCCCTGCAGTCTTTTAATGTTCAGTCTGTTCTGTGAATCCTCTGCTGCTTGCTTGTGTCAGTTACACTGTCTCCTGAGTTTGTTGCAAAGAAGGGATGGTAGTAAAGGATATGTGTGAATCAAATATCTGTTTGGTTTGATGTTTGATGTTTTTCTAACTCAACAAAAAAGCTCAAGATATCACGATATATGAGCGGGATGTTTCTGGATGGCGATACAGTTATGGCTTTCTGTCACAAAGTTATCCTGATTGTACACAAGGGTCTAGAAAGTAGGTCTTTAGTAGGATGTTAAGCTGAGTCATAATATCTGGATAGGTACTTGGTGGTGGTGGTCTTTTAATATGTTGAACCTGGGTGATCTTTCTGGCCTTTTTAAATTGTCTTGATGTTTAACCAAAGCATTTTATGCATGACTATCTCTTAGACAGTGACAAGATTTTTGGGAAGTCTGGGACTTCTAAAATATTTGTTCCCTGTAAATTGTTGTAGTATCTTAAAAGAATATGGGATGCTTTTGTAAACTTCGAAAATTGGACCAGACTTGTGTTCCATTCTGAGGTAGATCTTGAATTAGATGGACATTCCCTTTTTATGAATTTAATAACATGGATTAAAAATTCATGGTCCTTCTTTATGGTATTCCTTTTCACTTTTAGTTAATTATTTAATGGAGGAAAAACATTGGGAAGTATGGTTATCAAAAATGGTCTGAGAGGAATGAAAATCTTTCAAGTTTCAATGCAAAGGCACAGCTAGAAGATGATCTGCTGTGATATAGTTGATAAGATGTAAGTCCTATTTGTCTGAGAAGCAGGAATTATGGGAGTAACTTAATCGTGGAGAAATGGGTAGCCAAATAAAAATTTGTCTGAGAAGCAAGAATTATGGGAGTAACTTGATCGTGAAGAAATGGGTAGTCTAATGAAAAATGCTCCTTCTACTTTGCACTGTAACATATGCTTTTGTGAAATTTAAGATGGCCTGTAATTCAGAACTTTAATGGTGTATTTTTCTTCGCCTGTTCTGCAACCTTTTATTTTATTTTTAAAATTAATTCTCTGTTGTCTTCATTTCAGGTGTGGTCATGAGTTCTGCTATTCCTGTGGAGCGGAATACAGGGATGGCCAACAGACGTGTCAGTGTGTGTTTTGGGATGAAAACAACTCTGAAGACTCAGTGACTCACTCTCTTCAAGAATCAGAACAATGGGCATGGGAGACTTTTAATTCTCTCCCCATGATCATGGATGCATACTCAGACCAAGAACGTTCACAGCTTGCACTTATACAACGATTCCTTGCCGGGGGTTTCAGTCTGAGTGACCATCATCCTTGCCAATCCCCTCCCCGTTGTACAGACTCCTATGGTGACGCCATGAAGGATCTACATCAGCTTCCGTGGCTCGAGCGATTTGTCTCTGTGATAAGTGACAACTACTATGAAGACTATATTCAGTAAAACATCACCACCATCTTAGACTGCCAAATAGATTTAGTCCAAAAATGGTCCTCCCTAGAAGAGGTCATCTCAATGTGGTCTTCTCACTTTTCCAAGACAACATAAATCCTAAACTAGTCCTCCCCACTTTGATAACGTCTCAATCGTATGAGTGGCTTGGATTAGTAATGATGAAGTGTGATTGTTCACTGCCTATTTGGTATTATTTTCACTTAGAAATACCTTAAATACATGCTTTTAGGCTTAATAGAGGCTGCACATGGATTTCTTTAGTCAGTGACAGATAGCACATTGTTCTGTATGATTCAACACTGCCATTCATTGTTCGAGTCACTTGCACTGCTGGTTTTGGGAGCCAGGAGTAGATTGAGAAACTCGATGTGGAGGATCAAATTGAGAAAGACCTTGCTGTGGAGAAAAAAATAATTTGCCCAGCAACCCCGAAGGTGGATAGAGTTTCTCGCTCTATATCAGAAATAGCGATTCACATTTCTTTCATGTTACTTGTGTTTGTGTTACTGTAATGTTTATCCTTGGATGTTACATGGCAAAGACCATTCATGATAATTCTCTTTATGGAGAGTAAAAGAAAGAAAAAAAAATTGAATGTGAAATCCAGTGATTTGCCTGTGTTAGTTCTGTTGCTCATTTGAAAGAGATGTATGATATTTTCTGAGCATTTCGTTGTTAGAATGATAGTTGTTAGGTGCCTAGGCTAGAAGGTGTTATGATATGAGCTGTTTCTTTTCCATTTTTGCCCAAACAAATAACTGCATTCTATTCAGTTTAATCAATATTGTGTGCTTTGGAAAACATGGTATTCGGGGAACATCTTTTGACCTTATTTTGGATAACATGATTTTGGGTCAGCATGAAATAGTCATTGTTGACGTGGAATTCTTGCGTAATTTATTTACTTAATTATTAAATATCGAGTCATTTTTAGCACATTTAATCTTGGACAAGGGTAAAAATTCAGACTTAAGAAATATTTAATGCTGACATGCTATTTCGAGAATTCATTGTTGTTTAAAGCTGTTGTTGATGTTTCTTCAATTTCTTTTTGGTACATCAAAATCTTCGATTGATTTGCCATCTTTCATGTTCTTGTGTTTCTACTTTAAGCTCCAATTAAAAAACGAGCCCAAGTCCAAAAGAGCAATTGCGTCCTCTGGAAAAAGGCCCAAAGCAAAAATAAAACTCTGGCCCATTAGATTCTTGCAAACCCAAAAAATTGTTTAAAAAAATTTAAAATTGCCTAAATTACTAAAACCATGACACTTCAACTTAATGTATTAAATCCGACTTCCAGTTTTTAATATAAGATCTTGTTTATTTTTTATTTTGGTTCTAAATATAAGACCTCAATTTATTTTGGCTCTTAAATTTATACAATTTTTTTTAAGATAGTACTTCTAATAATTGTATTTTTAACTAACACACTTGATTGGTAAGGATATTTTAAAAAAGACCACCTATTTATTACAAATAACTAGCTTAACTTCTTTTCTTAATCTTTTCAAATTAGTCAACTAGCTCTTATAATTAGGACTGAATGTAGTATTAAAATTTGTTCATAATGTATTCGGTTGTTCGGAAACAAAATAAGTCACAGTCAGTAAACAACTTAGGTTAAAATAAAAAATCTTGAACCTGAAAAATTACACAAAGGTAATATCATATATCTGTCATCCCTGGCTAATAAACTTCTTGTTTCTTTTTCTTTTTTTTTTTGGTGTGTGTGCGTGTGGAGCATCTCAGGTTAATAAACTTCAAGAGTGCAAAAAGTAGGGGGAGGGGACGAAGGCATGAATCAAAATGAGTTGGGATGCACAGAAGCGCGGGGCAACAACCATATACTTACCATAGCAAATTAAACATGAATTCTATGCATTACATAGAGTTCGATGAATAAATTATAACTTAAAATAAATCATAATTTTAGACACGCCTACTACTCCTTCTTATTTTTAAAATAAGACTTAGATAAACAACTAATTTGTACAGATTAAGATAATTAGTTAAATTTATTATTTGTAAAAATGTGTGTTAATTTTCTTAAACATATTCTCTTTAATTATTTGTATTAAAACTACCTTTTAATGAAAATATTTTAATGTGTACAATCTGGATGAATAGTTATATACATAGAGAGAGAGAGAGAGCAGGATAAGGTGCTTAAACATCCTGGAAGTATACATAAACCTGTAAGTTTTTTTTTTTCCTTTTATATACCTTGAAAGTTTATCTTCTTAGCAAAAATATCATGACTGTTATCTGCCGTTAAATTTGACTAATACTTTTAATAATCAAACTTAACAGTGAATAATAATTCAAGGCAAAATGCAATGAAATAAAAATTCTAAGGCATACAAGAGCCAAAAAAAAATATTTCAGGTGCTAGTGTTTCTTCATATTCACTTTCTAAATATTTAAGCACTTTATCCGTGTGTGTGTAATACAAAGTGAATTGAAATGTTATATTTAACACCAAATATAACTTGTAATCTCGCTCCTATACATATACTACTATTTGGGGGAAGCATTGAAGTGAGTTAGGCCAGTTATAATGTTGTGTGGGAGTTGTACGTGAGGCAGTGACTTTGTTTGGTGGGTTTCCAAGGGGAAAAGAGCCTTAAAGTAGTGGGAGGCATGAGGGCGGCAATTTGGTAATGGTGGGTGTCATCAATTTATAATTAATTGCAGTGTAATGTGTACTCAAAAGTAATCTCTCTTAGTTACCCTTTTATTTGGCTAATTTGTCTCAATTCATCTGTTTGTCAGTCTCATTGGATGGGTGGTTTAGGGGTAAATTAAAAAGTAGAGAGAGAGAAAGTAAAAGGGAGCATGTGAGATGGAGTAGAGTGGGAGAATTGAATTGAATTGGATGGTTTGGTTGGTAGTACTTACGTGAGAAAAAAAGAGTGTCTTTTTCCCCTTTTGCAAAAAGAAAAAGGCCATTTATGCTCACATGAAACCTTGCCGGTGCTACTGCACTCCAACCCAATTTGAATCAAAAGCTATTTTGAATTACCAACAAGGGTTGGGTCTAGCAGAAGAGGTTAGTCCCTCACAACATAGCGAATCAAAGTTTAAATTCCCACTGAAAGAAGTGCCTACATTTAATGCTTGACAGTGTCTCGAATAGGATTACTTCTAATAAGAGGATACCTATACTTTAGCACACAAAAAAAAAAAAGCTATTTTGAATTCCCTAAAGAAAAATAAAAGCAAAGCATTATTGTGAAACACAAGTACACCCCCCTCATCACTTATTACACATGCCTTCTCTTTTTTCTTTTCTTTTTCCCCATTCTGCTGCACTATGTATCTTCCTAGTTTTTCTCTCTATATCATATTAAAGATTGTTTGCTAAGGTAATAACACATAAAATGTGGGGCCACTGAACCCATATTATCATTATATCTTAAGGGAAACACTCTCACAATGATAGACAGCAATCATGGATCTCTTGACAAACTGAAACCCTATTAATATATACATAGTGGCATTGGCATCAGTATCTGAGGTGACTTCCAATCCATTTCGAAAACGATTCTATTCTTCTTATTTTGTTTCTTTAATTCTCTTACAAGTTAAGTGGGTTGGGCAATTGGCATTCCCAGACGATTTCATTAGTTGCAGCGTAAACAGAATTAGGCAGTCACATTAAGTAATAGTTCCCCCCACACACTCATTAATTAAATTGAAAAGAAACACATCACAAATGAAAGGCATATCCCTTATTGTGCGTGTGTGTGTGAGACCACTTCCATTATGTCAATCTGGAGGACCAGGCTATATGGAGCTAAAATAAAGAAGCAGATCTCTGATTTACGGTTGAAACAGTAAGGCACAAGAAAGAAATGAATATTATAGATAATAAGGAAGTAATGCCAATTTAAAGGTCAAGGATAAGAATGCGGCAAAGATTTACAGAAATTAAACAGACTAACAATTTTTGCTGAAATTAAAGTCTGGGGTAAGCTATAAGGACGATGCATGGGTGATGATATATATATATATATATATGTTGTATATTATTTTAGGTTAATTAATTAATGTTTGACCTGCTTAATTTAACAGAGACATCACTGTGCCTCTTAAATATAGGAGCCCCTATATATATATATATATATATATATATATATATATAAATGAAAGGGAGATTCTTAATTATTTGGAGGGGCATGAATTTCGGTGAATTCTTATTAAATTGTAATATGAACATATACAGTGATTGGTGAACAGCTACATATGATTCCTTAAACATGGCTGAATTTTGTGGCATTGAGCTGTCGAGGATTTAGTATCAACGAAAGCATCGGAGCTGTATATTTAAATTCATATAGTAGTCAACTTGGGATTTATTAGAGAAGTGAATAATTTGATGAATTGAATCAGGATTTACATATTACTACCTCCGGTCCTTAATATAATACTCTATTTGATTTTTATTTTGATCCTAAATATAAGACCCCAATCCACTTTGTCTATCATATTATACTCCTCCGGTTCTTAATATAGGACCCAATTCTTGAGTTGGTTTTGGTCCTAAATATAAGACCCATTTCTCATATTTATCAATTTTCTCTAAATTACCCCTATAGATACTCTCTCAACTATAATCAAGTAGAAGATGAAAATGGGGTATTAATAAAGATAATTATGGTGTTTTAGGAAAAATGTGTCATTTTTCTTATAATTAACTAATTTACCTAACTTTCTTAATCTAATCAAATTAGTTAAATAGGTCTTATATTAAGAACCGGAGGAGTACATTTTTTTCCAAAGTAGCTTTTCTAACAATAATAGTTTTAATCAATACACTTGATTAGCAAGGATATTTTCAGAAAGACAACACCTATTTAGGACACATAACTAACTCAATTTACTTCCTTAATCTTCTCAAATTAGTCAACTGGCTCTTATAATTAGGACCGGAGGTAGTAGCTTGTTTTTGAGGAAAAAAGTTTCTTAAATTTTATTTTCTTTTGAAAAAAACTAAGTTGATGGGAATGGGGATTAAGTAGATGAACTTGGATGTTAATTAACAATAATAGAGCATGATAGTAAATCAAGGATTTGAATGTATACTTTGCTTGGGACATTGGAGAGTAGAAAAGAGAAAGAGGGAAGTGTTTCAAGCAATGGTGCTGTGCAACAACCAAACCATTATGCCATCTTCACACTTTATCACCTCCCCTTTCCTTTTCATATATCCATATATAACCTTCTAATCCATCAATCTAATTTTAATATAAAATTTAGTTTGTAATGTAAATAAATTGCATTACAAATTAGATCTTATATTTAAAAATGAAATAAAATATTTGCTCCACCAATGTATGTTGATGCTTTGGCACAAAACAATTTGTTTAGCAGTGTTGCTGTCTCAAAGTGGGTCTTGAGAGCCTTACGTTGCTTTAGGTTATTGTTCAAGGAATTAGGACGTTAGCTTTAAGCTTTAAGATGGTAAGTTAAAGAATTAAATTTATCATTATGTAGTTTCTTGTAATGTTAGTTATAGTTAGTGATTATTGTAGTACATTTAAGCAGTACTGTTTAATAAGTTCAGAATGTTGGTTTTGATAGTACACAGTACAATTGGTGTGCTGGATATATGTACAACAACTAAAATGTAGGTTCAGGTTGTATATAAAAATAC